AACTGTTATAAAACAAGACAGACATCAGGTTTGAGGGAAGACTGAGAAAGATGAGATAAATAATGTATACTGCATTGAAACAGATGAAGGAGAGAACTGTTTAAAAACAATATATGGTTAGGTATTATTGTCATGACAGGAGTCCAGAATGAAAGCTGCACAGTGGAGTGGACTTGGGGGGAGGGATTGTACAACAATAAAAGAATTTATCTTTTACTTTTCAAAGAGAAGAACGAATTGAAGGGAGGGTGGCAGGGAGAAAAATGCAACAATGAATGAATGGAAATCCAAAGTCTCTGTAAATGTTCATTAAAGTTAATAATTTGAAAAGCACCAAAGAGACAGTTAATTATGAAAATTTCTAACTTTTAATAAGTAGTGGTGACACTTTTCTTGTCTTAGATGATACAAGGTAGAGAAAGGAAATGTAGGAGTCCTCCTGTCACATGTCATTTCTCCCTCTGCACCATCAGAGGAGGTCCAGGTTTGCTTGCATCAGATTTTGTTATTCCTTCAAGGCTACATTTAGATTATCAGGTATTTCTCTTCACACCGTCTAAGCCCTCTTAATTCGAATGTGATAGTCATAGAGAAATCTGTGCAGATAGAAGATCTGCACCAATATCTCTCACATGTCCTTTACATGGACCCAGGACCAAATTTGCTTGATTTTAACTACTCGCTCTGTTGTCTTTCTGTCTGTTGATCTTTCCTACCTTCAGTTCTGTGACTATATCAATTTAAGTAAGTATTCTAAAAGAACTAGGTACAGTGCTCACTGTAAGAAATATTTATACCTACACATACACTACCTTCAATGCTAAGTTTCTAGTGATTAGATGATATAGATAGATATAGAGATAGAGAGAGATAGAGATAGATATAGATATAGATAGATGATATAGATATAGATAGATGATATATAGATATAGATGATATAGATAGATATATATATATGGCTATTACTATGTACCATTCATACTTCAAAACACAAAATAGACTCTCTTTAAGGAAAATGGGAAATAATGAGCATGAAAAACCAAAAGTACTGCTTAGTATGAGCGCTTTGGCATAATTTTTTATATAAATTATCTGATTATGAAATAGTAGAATGAATATTATGCTAGTGATCAATTATATGTACTTTTTGTAGAAAGAGTTAGTGTGTCATTTCTTTCCTCTTAAAAATGTTGGATATTGTCTTCAGTATACAGATGCATTCTCCAAGACTGGGGGACAAAAATCCCAAATTATGCAGTTCAAAATAGGATTGCTTCAAACTATTTGCTGTTGGTCTTCCAGTAAACCTTCCGAACCCAGAGTTTCTTCATTTCCTTTTTCACTTCTGTGTTTCTCAGTGTATATATCAGAGGGTTTAACATGGGGGCAATGATGGTATAAAACAGAGCCACCATCTTATCCCCAGAAAAGGTAGTGTCAGGGCGCATGTACATGAAAGTACAGGGACCAAAGAAGATGATGACCACGGCAATGTGGGAGCCACAGGTGGAGAGAGCTTTGTGCCTGCCTTCTGCAGAATGCTTTCTCAGGGACACCAGTATGACAGTGTAGGAGATTAACAAGAGCACAAAGCTCCCCAAAGAGATGGTCCCACTGTTAAATGTATCAAAAATACCAGTAACATATGTGTCTGTGCAGGCTAGTTTCAGCAGAGGGTGGACATCACAAAAATAATGATCAATCTCATTTGGTCCACAAAAGGGTAGCTGGACAACCAAAGACAATTGCATAATGGCGTGTATGAAGGCCCCTACCCAGATCCCAAGCAACATTTTACTGCATCTGTCTCGGTCCATGATGGTCATGTAGTGTAGGGGCTTACAGATGGCTACATACCGATCGTAGGCCATTAACACAAGAGTGAAGATCTCGACACAACCAAAGAAATGCACCCCAAAGAGTTGCAATATGCACCCCACATAGGAGATAGTTTTACTCTTGGCTGATAGGTCAACAATCATCTTGGGAGCTGTAACAGAAGAATAACAAATGTCCACAAAAGATAAGTTATTGAGAAAGAAATACATAGGAGACTTGAAAAGGTTGCCGAAGCTCACTGTCAGGATGATGAGGAGGTTTCCCAGAAGAGTAACCGTGTAGAAGAAAGAAAACACCACAAAGCAAACTTCTTCTACCACTGGGTTTTGAGAAAGGCCCCAGAAAATGAAAACAGTTATATTGTTTATTTTTCCCATTACATTAACCCAGCAGAACACATTTCCAAGCGATGAAGTATCTGAAAAAAATTTTGAGAGAATCAATAGTAATATCTCTACAGTAGAAAAAAAAAGAATAGTCACAGTCATCTGACTCTTTCTGATTTTCGTTCTCTCTCTTAGTCTCATTGGTTACAACTCATTTATATCTTATCTTGGGTTTTCAAGGAGCTTTAAAATCACACTAGAGATTGCCTATCTTTCTCCTGCAAAGCACTTAGTGAATTCACACTGTCACCTTTGAGTTAGTTGTGAGACTGCTTAAGAGCTCTGCCACCAGACCTCCCTTGATCTCAGCACTCAAAAACAGAAACAACAACAACAAAAACCAAACAAAAAAACCCCCAACCATTACTTACCTGCTTCAAGGGAGCTCTGGTGGCAAAGGTCTGCAGTTGGAATCCACCACCAATTGTTCTGCAAGACAAAGATGGGCTACCCCCTTCCATGCAACTTACTGTTTCTGAAAAACCAATCGGAGAGTCAGCTATTAGGTGGTTCTGACTCAGTGGTAATCAGTAAAGGAACTCTAGTGGCCTAGTGTTAAGAAATTGCATTGCAATGCTGAAGGCCTTCAGTTCAAACCCACCAGCTGCTCAGTAGTAGGAAGATAGGCAATCTCCTCTCCTGTGATTTACGGCCTTTGAAAACTTTCCAACATGTCAGCTATGAGTCCAGTCCAACTCAAAGACACATAACAACAACAGTAACCTCTGTATAAACTGCACGATTAGATAAATTATGATGTGTATAATCTGATCATCGTATGTTTACACAATAGTACATTCATTTATTTCAGATGAGGAAGTCACGTTCAAAAATAAAGCAAATTACCAAATTTACCCATTAGGCCAGGAGCCAAATTCTTCTTAATGTGTGTGCACATGTGGTCCTGTGTGTATGTGTTTATTCATTTGTTTGCTTTTGATATTTGCTTAGTTGCCATTCTATGTAAGCACCACAACTTCCGTGTTAGGGACCCTTAGTGGTGAAAACAGTTAACAAATTCAGCTATGCTCAGTTGCTAACTGAACGTCTGCAGATTCACGTTCATCCAGAAATATTTTGGAAGAAAGACCTAGTAATCTATTTTTTTAAAAGGAACTTTTTAAAAATTTTATTAAAAAATCAGTTTTGAGCATTATGCTACTTTAAGAACTATAGAATCATGATAATATATACAGAAAATCTCAATGATCCAGCAAGAAAAGGCAACTGGCTTCTCAGTTAAGGGGGAAGTATAAAATTTCCAATTTCCCAATTAAGAGCAGGACACAAGAACAATATCTTTAAAAAAATCAATCGGATACCTGTACTGGTAAAGTGATAAAGAAAACACTGAAAAAAGGAAATCAGTTAAACAATGCCAATTATGATAGCTACCAATGGATTAAATATATAGATACAAATTTAATCAGAGACACAAAAGATCTATACAAAGAAAATAGCAAAAAAGTGCTATACATAAATGAAAGAATATACCAAGCATAAACGTAGGGAGATTTAACATTGTGTAAATGATAAGGCTATTTAACTAATATGCCTGTTTAATACAATCTTAATTTAGATCTCAACACATTCTTGAAAATAATGGGAAAAAATTATCATCAGTTTTAAATGGAAAAGAATGAGACCCAAGGTGAGCAAAGTTTTACAGAGGAAGTAAAGCAAAGTCGGAGACCTCTTACTTCTTGCTTTCAAAACACAGTCACAGTAATCAAAATAGTATGGCACTAATATAGTAACAGGAACATAAAACAATAGAATAGAGTTGAGAAGCTAGAATTAAATCCATCAGCCTATCGTAAAGAATATTTGACAAGGAAAGTTGTGGTTTGTTGTGATTATGTGGAAACGAGTTGCTTGCGACTCTGCTCGGTCTCGAGCCAACCTCTCTGTCTCTGGCACATAAACCCACATTATCTCAGTCACTGAATCAATCCATCTCATCCAGGGTCTTACTTTCTTGTGCTGTCCCTCCATCCTTTTAAGCTTGATGTTGGTCTCCAAGTACTGGTCCCTCCTTGCAATATGCCCAAAGTGTGTCAAACAGAGCTTCAAAATCCTTGCCTCCAAGGAACAGCCTGCTTGTACCCTCTCTAGGATGAACCCATTTGTTCTAGCAGTCCATGGTATATTAAATACTCTTCTTAAGCACTACAACTCAAGGACATTGATTCTCTGGGATGAACCTGTTTGTTCTAGCAGTCCATGGCATATTAAATTCTCTTCTCAAGCACTACAACTCAAGGACATTGATTTTTCTTCTGTCAACCTTAGTCATTGTCCAGCTTTCTGATTTATAGCAAATAATTGCAAAGACCACGGCCTGAATCAGGTGTGCCTTAGTCTCTAGACTGATAGCATTGCTCTTCAGCATTCTAGAGAGCTCCCTGGGAGTAGATTTTCCCAATACAATTTGTCTTTCAATTTCCTTCCTACTGGTAACAAGAATATTGATTGTAGAACCAAGCAAGCTGAAGCTATAAGCAATCTTGATTCCTTCACCATCTACCATGATGCAGCCAATTGGCCCAGTGGTGAAAATCTTTGTTTTCTTGATGTTGAGCTTCAATCCATATTGAAGACTACAGTCCTTGATATTTGGCAGCAAAAGCCTCAGGTCCTCCTTGTTTCAGCAATCATGATCCTGTCATCTGCATAACATGGGTTGTTGATGAATCTTCCTCCAATTCTGATGCCACATTCTTCCTTATAGAGCCCAGCCTCCTGTATGATCTGTTCTGCATATAGATCTGTTCTGCATCTCTGGTGCACACCTTTCCTGATTTTGAATCATACAGTGTTTCCTTGCTCTGTTCTGACTACTGCCTCCTGGTCCAAGTATAGGTTTCACATAATAGTCAAGTGTTCTGGGATTCTCATTATTCTCAGAGCTAGCCACATCCATGAATTAGGAAAACAGTGGCCTCTTTTTAAAAAGGTACTGACAACACTAGATATCTATCTGTTGAAACGGGAAACAGGATCCATACCTCACATGTTAGAAATAAACTAACTCAAAGTTAATCAAAGACTTGGGTTAAAACGTAAAACAATAAAACATCAGAGAATAAAAAATGAATGAAAATTTAGTAATTTATATCTGTGGCATAAATGAGGAGCTCTGGTGGCCTAGTTATAAGAAAGTGCACCACAGCAATCCTGAAGGTATACAGTTCAAATCCACCTGCTCTAAGGGAGAAAGACAATCTTCTCCTGTGAGGGTCAGCTATGGGTTGGTCTGATTAGAAGGTACTCAGTAACAGTAATAGCAACACCATCAACAGCAATATTGACATACATAGACTACCAACCATAAGCAAAGTTGCACAAACAGAAGATAAACTAAATGAACAGTAAGTACCTCCTAAAAAAGAAATTCTTATGTGCAGTAAGTACTTCTCCAGAAGAGTAACTGCAATCCACACAATAACTTGGCAATGGGCATATCTGATAAAGAACTTGTATCTAACATGGAAATCTCTAGCACCTCAAAAATAAAAAAGTAGCCACATTTAAAAAATGGGCAGAAGTTAGTAAGAAACTCTTCACAAAGAAGACATTCAGATGATCAACAAACGCATGAGTAAATACTCATGAGCACTAGCTCTTTTGAAGATGCACAACAAAACAACGAGTTATCATCTCATCAGAAACAATTACCAAGTTCATTAAAACAGCCATATACTGGCAAGTATGTGATGGTATTAGAATGTTTATATTAGAATGTTTATGCATTGCTGGTGGAAATGTAAAATTAAGGTAGTGCAACCACTCTGGAAAACAGTTTGGCATTTCCTTAAAGATGAAAATAGTAGTACTATTTGATCCAGCTATTCCATTATTAAGTATAAACCCCCTGGCATAAACCCATGTTTATTGCAGCATTACTCATAATAGCAAAGAAATGAAAAAAATCCAATTATCTATCAGTAAGCAAATGGATAGAGACATAATTGAGTATCATGGAACACTGAAAAGCAACGTAGTCTTGGATAAGTCTAGAAGATATTATTCTGAGTGAAATAAATCAGCCACAAACACATTCTGTATAAAACGACTTTATAAAAGGTTTATATATAGAAAGAATCTTTCTAGTGTGGTTACTAAGGAAAGGGGAAAAAAGAGAATTAATAGATAATAAACACTGAGATGGATGAGAGAAAGGCAGTATAGAATGAGTGGAAGAGTTGACATTTTCTATATTTTAATTGATGTTATGGATCAAAATGTGCATGATTGAGTGATTGCAAAAGAAGAAGAAATGCTTTCAAAAGTTTTATTGAATAACAAACAAATAAGAACAACAGGGGGAAAAACAAAAAGAAAAGTAGGATTGGATTGACAATAGTAACTTGAAAGATAAGATTTGAAGGATAGGAAACAGTAAGTTTATGATAATGAGGGATAATAAGTTAGAAAAGTTAGTAAGATTTACTCAAAAAGTAAATCAATATAACTAAATTATACATACAGAAACTGTTGAATTGGGGTGTATTTGTTCTATATTCTCAACAATACAAATAAAATTATAACAAAACACACCCCTTGTAAGACACTCTGACATCTTGTATACCCTTGTATACTCTGACATACCTGGTAAATTGAACATACACCACATATACTCTGACATGTTGCCAGTAAATTAGAATGGACTCTATGGTATCTAGTTGGTTTGTGTGAAACACAGGAACATTTGTGTAGCAGAGGTCACCTTGTTTGACGCAGGAGTGACAATACAAGCCCACAATTTCCCTTCTGATTCTGTACATGCCTGTACATCGCTTTCATGAACCAGCTCAAGAAGCAGACACTAGGTGACCTCATCAGGTTCCGTGTCTGTGAATCGAGTCTTTATGTGAGTGTGGTTCAGCTCTCCTACTTGACTTCAGGGTCTTTAGAGCTAGCACATGGTGTAGTGAGGGTAAAGGGGAACAAATCTATATCGACTTGACTCTTTGATAATGATACTATTG